GACATCAGCACATTTATATTCAGAATTAGAAACATTAAACATTTACATAAAAAAAAAAGAACTTGATAGCAAAAACCATATGTAATGATTTCCCAAGAGAAATAATTCAATGAAAAAACAAAATTTATTTTCCCCAGAAATACATATTCATTGGAACCAGTCATGAATGATGTTCATGTGGGTGTGTTTAATGAGTACATACATGGAAACATATAAAACCACATTTAGATACAATGTGTTACTAGATGTTGATCTAATGGCTGAAAAGGTTGTAGTGAATTTGAAAATACAATTGTATTACTGGTCCATACCTACTGAAGTCATATATTAGGTAACCAGACGTATTTATTTGTTTAAAAGACTTGAAATGACGATTCACTGCCTGGTGTTTAATTAGGTAAATGGATATTGTACAGAGATATATAAAATCAGGTTATATAGCTGTATATCTGAAGCAGCTTCAGTCTGCTTACATGGTTAGGCTGTCAAGTTTTATGATAGATATCAACATTGAATTCCATGGCTATAACACCAGAGACGCTCAAGTGGTAGAGGCCAATATGAAGAGTAATTGGGCCAGAGAAAAATCTCCATCTTAATGCTATAAAAGTAATTTCTTTCATTTATTTATATTTCAATTGTTTTCAGACTTGTAAAATGAGATTATAATTTAGTGAAAATTGAAACTATCAGAACTGGTAAAATGGCATCACCACCAATATAATGATAGTTTCGTAGTACTCTATTTAATTGCATCAGTTATGTTAACCGATAGCCTAATAACAGACTTAAAATGGTCTTGCACAAACTCAGCTGGGATAAACTTTTTGTGTGTACACTCCAATATTTCCAAGTATTTTTAGTAATATCTGGGTATAATTTATTGAAATATGATAAACATATCAGTGTTCTGATTCTATCACTTAATTATACAATGCCAGTAAAACAGATGCTGACCAAACATCCTGCTACTCATCAAAAATTTCAACTAATTGACTAATTTTTATATAATACAGGCAAACTACATCATATGTCTACATGCACCAGTTTGTAAAAACTTCAGTGAGAACAGAGATAAAAAGTTTTGTTACCATAAAGACTTCCTGAAGTACTTCAGTTAAAATGCATGTTGTACCCTCACTCTTAAATTTGGTACGGTGCATTCAAAGACGTGCACATATACTACTTTGGTACTGTGAACACCTTTTTGGAGGAACACCAAGTATTTAATATATAATGTGTATGTGTTTTCAAGAGAAGTTATTTCTGGTCTGGTAGGGTTCAATCGATCAGGAGAATTTTTCTCCAGGTCGGACTGTTTCTAGTTACTTGTTGTTTCATAAGAACTTTCATCTACAAATAGGATACAGGATGTATGTAGCTTGTAGGTACATTCAATCAATTTATGCAAATGTTTATACCACATGATAGAAACATTTTGCTCTCCCTGAGCTAGGGTAAATCTTCTAAGTATTTATTGATTTTTGTCTAGAGATGTACATCATGGACATATACAACCCTTTAGTTACCAGTATACAGTACTATATAGCGCCCTATACAGAATAGATGAGCTAAATCTCTGTCTAACTATAACCCAACCCATCGTGACACACCAGGTACAAGTTTTGGTGCAGTCGACAGTCACCATTATCTGCTTAAGCTGTTTTGTAGTACAGTGAAAATATTCCTGAACTTTATCAATCACATTTTACTGTGCAATAGCTTTTACTGTATTTTAGCATTTTAACTGTGATGTTGACAGAAAACATGATTTAGAGGTTTCCAAATAATACTAGAAATGAAGTTACAGAGAAAATCATTTGTTCGTAATATAGTCATAAACTTTCTTCTTGTTTTTTTAAAAAAAAAAAAACGAAATTTCTGTAATATGTAAATGGATTTTTTGTCCATGCAACTTGACAGGATTTTACAGGGAATAAATCAAAATAGCTTCAAAGGTTACATTATCAAATTGTTTGACACATACTTATCAAAGGCTCTTCAAAGTCCTCATCTAGATCATGTTCTATCTATTAAGATGATACATCAGGATGTGTATGACAGCTATAAAAGGTTAGAAATACAGAGTCATTATTGATGCCCTAAAATCAATACCAGCACTATTCATAAAACTGCACCAGTCAGCAATATGTTTTTAATTGCTTTTAGCAAAGTCTTTCTCTCACAGCAATAATGAGCAAGAAAGAATGTTTTAGACAATTAATGATACGATATGCCAAAGAAATTGTGAACTAAAATAGGACTAATACAATGGTATAGTTTTGTTGCTGTGTCAAGTGTGAATGTATAACCTATTTTCATTCACTTGTCAATAATCAGAGCTTGTAGAGAGATATGATTTAAAGAGTTTTAAGTGCTCCAGTATGATGGCAAGGATATTTAGGTGTTCATAGTGTTATGCTCTGTTACAATGACGTGTCACCAAAGTGTTCTGCGAAGTCAATCTGATATCAGGAGGGCAATTAAAGCTATTGTGCTGAAAATAAACTTAAGGATGGATTAAAGTCTACATAACATGGATGTTAGGTACTGCACTCAACATCAGGATACAGGAGATGGGATAATAACACACGATTTTGTAAGTTATATATACTTACATGATTTTCTATGTAAAATAGGTTATTTTTAGTTGTGGCTGTCATGCACAGTAAAGTGATATTAAGTAGTAATCTCAGTAATCTTCTTTTGTAACTGCAGGCATTGAGCTGGATGTGTTGTAGTGTCATTTAACCCATGGTTAAAACTGCTTTCTCACATTACATTAACAACTAGCCGTATATGCCTACGAGATTTATAGGTATAGTCATGGTGAAACAATTTTTATGCATGTAGACATAGAGACTTTTGTATTGAGCTTTACTGTTATGGAGTCGCTCACAAAATCTATTACGATGAATGATGATGTTACAGGTCAAGTTAATAAAGATAATGAACAACCTTCTTTTAACAGAATGAATGGCCTCAAGTCATATTTGTGATGTAAGTGGTTCAGGTTGAAGCATGGAGTTCAAGTTTGCATTATAAAGTGACTGTCTTATAAAGTCAAGGACACAACACAAATCAGATGTGGTTTTAATACTTAATTATCTGTTCTTTATTTTCTGATATTAAATCTATTGGATTGGTTGAAATGGAAACCAGAGTTAGCAAATAAAGGTACTTTGTTTTCTCTATGTTATCAGATAGAAAAATATAGGCCATTATCATTAATAACAGCTGGCATTTTCTTCTCTGTTAAATGATACCTATGTATATTCTGACTGATGAGTTTTATCATTTCCATGTAGCTGGTCATACAATGGATGTTCAATACTTGTTTATGGTGCTCTCACATGCTGATAGGATATAAAATAGACTTACTTATCAATAGTATAATGTGGCTCCATTGTAAATGTCTCGTGATCCGATAACTATATTGATAATCTCTGCCTGAAATACGCTATAGCTCATTGTTTTTGTGGGGATTATATTTTTGCTAATTTGTGAACAGGTGTTCACAGAAATATGATCTATGTAAAAATGACATGCTGAGTTTTTCTGTGATGTCACTGTAAAGCAGCCTACAGTTGTATAAACTCCTGTGACAATTGTCATTAGACAGTAGCTATATATATATATATAGGCTTTCTCAAATCACAGGATCTAGAAAGGCAGTAAGTGTAAATTTAGACCTCTGTGTGACTGTATCATGATATTGATGACATTGTCAGTAATAACTACAGATACTGTTAAACTCTTTGTATGAATTTGATTTCCTTGTTTTGAGTAAAACTCAGATAGTTTTGTGCTTTGAAAACAACTGCAAAACAATATGTAAGTATTACATTAAAATGGCAAGACATGTAGTTATACGATCAAGTGCATTTAAAATTAATTATGTTAATTTGAAGAAGCAAGGAATTACTTATGGTAGGTGTAACTTGCTAAAAGGTTGGAATGTCATTAGGACAACATGCATAACCAGGTAAATGTCAGTATGTTTCTCAGGTGGAAATTAATGCTTGTGGGCAAAAAGGTACCTGTTACTCAGGTACACAGCCACATTTACACCTACAGGGGGTGAGAGGTTAGTTTACTAACGTCACTTGGTGTGATACCGAGGGGGAGAATACAGTGTATGTACCAGGATATTTTTGATGTGGCCATTTCTTGTCTTCCTATACATATTTAAGCAGGTACATTAGTATACAGCACTGAGGGCCTTCCTTCATAAGTATGTTTATATAGGATTGTAAAAACATTAAGGTAGGGAATAGCTTTTACCTTGAGGCAGACATCAATACTTGTATAGATGTTAAAGGGAAATTAAAGTTAAAATGACATACATTGGCCTTAGTTCTTTACATGTCTCAGCATAAACTTATTGTAGAATGATACATGTTACTGTAGTGGATGACAAGGGGATGGGGAATGATTTAAACAGACTGACATATTGGGAATAAACAGATTTAAATGTTAATGAAGCAGGTAAAATGTGAAATGGTTTCAACCATATTGCATGAAGCTTTCTAAATCTTCTCTTCAATAGGTATGTTTACATTTTAATGTAGTTGTTGGTGATGTAAATATAATTACCTTTTGATAATAGTGGTCTTAAGTTCCTATTTTGTCACTATTAGTACCAACTTTGTATGATCTTATCAAAGGTAGATGAGTAGATAGAGATGAAATGATGCTGATCCAATTGCATTTATTGCCTCATGAATGTAATTACTTTTCCTTATTAGTGTTCATTTAGGGAGTGTTTCTGTACGGCAGTGAAAATATTGTAAGGAAATATAAGGAAGAAACCTATGTAAGCAAATCATGTAAATGTCTCTTCAAAGATGAAATATGATCACAAATTTCATTTATTTCTTAACATCAACCACAAAATATAGCACTATAGTATAAGTGTGGTGTGATATTTTACAGCTCTAGTCCCTATTAGGTGTTGTATAGTGTATATTATGTGTTGATGATGTGTCTTCTGTTCACAGGCCTGACAATGAGACCACCTACATCAACAGTGACACAACCGAGTTGAGGCAGGCCAACGTGCGCGCTCGTGGGGAGTTGCGACATGCCATGTCCGAAGTCCTTCCCAATGAGCCTGTACGAAGGCGGAGTCAAACAATGGCCAATGCGAAAGAACATGCCTTCTCTCGTTTACAAGAGGAACTACAGAAGGCCCAGGATGTGAGTACAGTTGACAGCTATATCAAACTATTGCTACCGTATCTATTTAATATCAAACCATTGCCTGGTAGAATATTTGTCATCAGGAACTGAAGTTGGGGAATGAACATATAAGGATATTTGTATGAATTGCATATGATATATTTATCTACAGGAACTGAAGCTGAGGGATGAGGAGTGTGAGAAGCTGCTGAAGGTGAGAGACCAGATGGGTGAGGAGCTGGAAGAACTCACTGCCTGTCTGTTTGAGGTGAGAATTTAAATTTATGGCATATTTTTCAATCATAATTTAGGATACACCCATTTCTTGTAATGGATATTATTGTTAATAAAATTTAACGATCTCTTCTTTTCCATTTGTCTGTATTCTTACAAACTTGCTGTATTTAAAAAAACTAGCTGATGAGTTGAGGTTCTAGATGTTGAAACTTTAATAAAAAAACAACAAAAACAACAAAAATAAAGAAAAAAATGGACTCATGAATGGATTCAGATGATTGTTAGATTTTGATTGTGAGATCACCATTGTTTTATTCTTTTCTGTACTGTAGCTTCTGATAGGTTATTGTAAACAAAGACATTTGTTTATAAACAATTTTAAACTGATCGATGCAGTAAATTTAGATTTAGATAATTAGATGGAAGTGAGATACTGTAGAGCAATGTCTTTGTTTGTAGAGAATATTAACATATCTATTCTGTTTTATCCTGCCTTTTTCGGAATACACCTGCCACATATGCAAAACCTCTGGTCACTCAAATAGGCGGGTAGTTTGAACATGTGATTTTTCAGTAAAAACAATAATGTTCAGACCCTTTCTGTTTTTGTTTCACTTACAATTCCAATGGTATGCCTAATTATTTATTCATGATAGTGATATTGGTGACCCAGTAATTACTCCATGTTGTCACTCTTCTCATTGATGGTAAATGCTGCGGGAAGCGAGCTGTAAATGACCATCATAAGTGATTGGTTTCATTGAGTTTTCTTTCATGGTTTCTTGTCATATCATGCTCACACCAGCTGATACAATATGAGGCCCCAACTCTGTATCACAATTGATTGGTATACTGAACACAGAATGTAGAAATTATGAGCTCATATATCATCAAAGTGCAACTGTGTTTCACTTCACATTTTGGTTAGATAATCACCCCAACACTATCCCCATTTATCATGTCACATTAATAATTTTAAGACTCACTACCAAACATATTTTAGCTGATATTTGCTGGAATATGGTATAAATGACTGTTATGATAAGCAATTTGTGTGGTTTTAATGAACAACTTTATTGATGAAAATTAAGCAAAATATGATACTTTGGAATCCTTTAAGTTTTGAACCTGATTTCTCTGTGGAGCTATTATTTAGGCCTAAAGCAGATATTTAAGAGGTTTTGATAGGCTGGATTGTCAATCAGTGTTGCAGGATAAACAGAATACATGGTCAATGTCTAAGAATATAAGCCTCATTTTGGCTCAGGACAGAAAGACCAAAATTGGCTTGTCACCTTTCTCTTTCTATACCCTTGCCAAAATATAGCTTATTGCATAAGACACCCGCAATGTATCCTCCATTTATTTGGACAGAGATTTTAGCACTCGTATCTTTATTCGTAATCATCGTTTTTATGTCGACAGGAAGCAAATAATATGGTCCAAGAAGCCAATTTAAAAAGAATGCATTCTGAGAAACTCCTTAAAGAAGCCACAGAAAAGGTAAGTAATGTGTATCACAGAACCTCCCACTGACTTCTAAAAACACGGATATTTAATGTTATTTGTGAACAAAATAACATGTTTTGTTTATACAATATAGTGTCAGCAGTGCTGAAAGACATGATAAGTTACAATAACTTTAGCTTTGACATTAAAGTATTGTCAGACTATTTAGGTAAAATAAAGATGTTATCATGGATAGATGGTGCAGTGGTAATGCACTCTTCTTTCAACTAGGTAACTTAGCCTCTTTTCCCAAATTGAACATAATTGAACATGAAAAGGTATGGGGTGCTTTGTTCAACCACAGTTTTCCTGGAGTACTTCAGTTTCCTTGGAAAGTCAGACCACTTTTGCGTTTCCTTGTCAACAAGTCTTGTTTGTAGACTGTATAAGGTTACATCTTTTGTTACAAATTTTTTTTTATAAAATTACTGAATTTGTTAATTCTTACGAGAAGTAAACTTATATTTATATCCTCCAGATTGAGGTGTTGGAGGCAGAGGTTGTTGCCTTGAAACAGCTAGTCCTGACATCAACCCCCAGCTCTCCCAACAAACATCTACACCCCCAGATAGACACTCTCAAACCTGAGACTAATAAAAAGGAGAAGGAGAAGACAAGCAAACCGTTCTGGAAGACACATCGGCGGTCAACCAGCCACCATGAGTTTACTCGTGAAGCGAGACAGGAAGTACAGGCTCAGCAGGAAGCCAAGAATGACCGATGTAGTGATGTAAGTTATGAATAGGAATTCACAGTAGCATAGAAATGATAGATAAATTGTCTCTTTTTCATCATTCTTCATGCATGATGTGAAAATAAATAATCAATATGAACTATCTAAATGTGCAGGTTTATTATCAGATCATCAATACAAATTATACAGATAGGAGTTAGCTTCAGGCATTCTCTCCCCAGAGAATTACTCAGGCTTCAGGCATCTCCATTATCATGGTGTTAAAAGCCAGGCTATAGCACTGCTGCTGGTCAATGATGTCCTCCCCAGAGGGTTCTATTTAGTCCTGTCCTCCATAGCATCTCCACCAGATATGTCATTGTGTTCAGCTCAAGAAGTGTGCTAAATATTGGCTTGATAGATTACACTGGTATTGTCAAATACATGTAACAGACTGTAAAATGTTTCTGTTTGCATGAGGGAATCAACTTATGAAAGGGAAATAACTCTGAAATGATTTTATAGTATTTATATATACCCACATACAGGACCAGGTCATTTGTCATTGTATGATTGAAGTTTTATCTTTAATAAATGAAATATGTATAAAAATGATCTGATTACTCAGAATTTTAATAAGGCAGTCCATCAGTTATTTCTCAGTAGGAAAAGCAGACACTTATTAATAATTTTGTTTGGGGATAAATGGGGTTTAGTTACACAGTTTCAAATAAAATAAAAAAAAATAATAAAATAAAATGACCTTGACCCTTATTCAAGGTCACAGAGGTCACATTTCTTTAAACATTAAAACAACTTCTTTTGATTAACTGAATCCCCCAGAAGCATGATATTTGGCTGAAAGGTTCCTAGGATGAGGCCCAACCAAGTTTGTGAAAAGAAATGACCTTGGGCAATGTTCAAGGTCAAAGGGATCAAATTTTCAAAAGCTTGAAATGACTTCATCTGACCAACCAAAAGGCCCAGATGAATGATATGACCTTGATCATTATGGAAGGTCACAGGGCTCAAATGTGTTACCCTTTAAATAACTTCTTTTTAATCAAAATGCCAGGAAGCATGATTTTTTGGCTAATTGAATCCAAGTATGAAACCTGACAAAATTTACGAAGAGAAAAGAATTTGAACTGTATTCAAGGTCACAGGGAGGTCAAATTTGTTGAAACCATCAAACTTCTTCTTATTATTATAATATTGGGCAAGTAATGCTCTTGGATTGAACCTGATAAAATTTGTGAAATGACCTCAAAACATATACAAGGTCACATGGATAAATAAGATTGATACAAACATGTAAAGATTTCTCCTACTTAAGCAAAAGGCCTTGAAGCATTATATTTGGTTGATGAGTGGTTGGGTTGAAGTTAAACTAAAAATTGCATAAAGAAATGACCTTGAACCACACTCAAGGTCACAAGGGTCAAATTTGTAAAAAAAAAAAAAAAAAAAAAAAGACGTTTTGTCATAAACCAGAAACCTTATATTTCGTGTTAGGTCTTTGGATTGAAGCTCATGGCTGTGAAAAATATTAACTTGATCTCTATTCATGGTCATGGGGGTCAAATTTATTAAACCTCTGAAATAGCTCCTTCTGATTTTGATATTTGGCCAGTATGTCTCTTGGATACAAAAATTTACCAAAAAAAAAAAATGGCCTTGAAACTTATCAAAGGTCACAGGGGTTGAATTTGTCAAAACCTTCAAACTATTTCTTCTGCTTAAACAAAAGACCTAGCATGATATTGGGCTGGTAAGTTTCTTGGATGAATCTCATCAAAGTTTTCAAACAAATGACCTTGAACTATATTCACAGTCGAAGGGGTCAAATTTGACAAAACCTGTAACAGATATCTACTCGTAGACGAAAAAGTAGAGAATCATGATACCGTGTAAAAATGAGATTTTAGGTCAAAGCCAGACAAATTTTGAGAACAAAAAATTAAAAACATAAAAATGACATTTACATTTAAGCCAGGTCATAATTGTCACTCTTAAGAAGTGAGGGCTAAGGCTGAAGTTAGTTGTGGAAATTGATTAAAATTGATTGGATATGCCCACTTCGAATGCCAATGGTGTACATGTTAATGTGTTTGTTATGAACATTGAAGGTATTTTAGATAAATATCAAATACCAGGTGAGCGATGCAGGCCTATTGACCCTCTTGTTTTGGTAACACATTATAATATGTTTATATCATACAGAGGAACTTCAGAGTGATATGATTTAATTACAGATTGATCCTGTATTCTTTGAGGAGTTTGTGATGTGGAGGAAGAATCCACGCTTGTCCAAGGACACAAACTTCCTGTCTAGGATGTATATGGAGGATATCAGTCCCTGTCTCAACTTTGCCAATAAACAGGTAAAGACTTGTCATAAGTCTTCTAAGTCTGCAATGTATGTAGTTGTTGTTGACTTATTTTGGCGTGTCATTATTTGTTTTGGGCCTTTTTGCAAGAGACAAGAAAAGCTAGAGTATTGTTTTGTTTGACATCAGTGTCTTTAGGTCAGGTTCTGGAAAAATATATTATCTGCAGCAACCATATAAATCTGATATATAGTTTGACCTGAAAGTGTAGAACTAAAATTAAAATTTGGAGAAGTTATGTCCCTTGTAAGAAAAGTGCTGCACTTTTGTAAGATTTTGAATATTGGTACGAAGTCTTTTGAAGATATTCAAATTGTCTTGAAAATTTGTGCACACCTTCCATAATGATGTACATTAACAGAAAGAAACCAGCTTTTTGCAGCCTCTCGATATTTATTACTTGTACAATTATGATTTCAGTTGTCCGAAAATGTGAAAGACTGTGTAGAAAACAATACGCTTACGATTGAACCTATTCCTGGTGACAGCTCCTACCCAAGGTAAAATTTTATAGTTTGTTAGCGTTTATTCAACATTGGCTACTTTATGTACTGAATTAGGGACCAGTTCCTAAAGGTCTTACTTTTTGATATGGCAACTCATTAGTCCCTTCACAGAACTATCGGTGATATTTGCTTCCTCCTAGGCTCCGTTTGTGTTACAGTACTCTTGTCTCGGACATGATTCAGGGCTCGCACTGTGAGTTGCCATCAGTGGCAAGGAAAAAATGAAATCTTTTTGGCATTTTAAAATTACTTTGGCAAAGTGCCAAAATACACTGATATTTCACTGCACTTATGACTAAAATCAAGAGTCATGGGCATATCAAGCCCTACCCAGCCAGATACCTTGGCACCGACTTAAATATGTACAGAAACGGGTGTGATTTTCTTATTACCTCCTAAAGCCTCAGGCATAAGGCTTATATTATAGACAAAGGACCCAGACATCTCTTACCTTACCACATAAAGAGTTATAGCACTTGGTTATTGTTACTCATCTCAGTCACCTGATTTATCAGATTTTGAATGATAACAGGGGTCTGATCTCTATTCAGAGTTATGGTCATTCTTATGCACTTTATCACCTTCAGTTGCACTAGTGTCAATGTTGATATTGTTGTCAGTGTATGACATATTAAATTCTGATTGTCTGTCTTTATGTATGGAGTTATAGGCCTTTGGACTGATAAACACTAGTGTTAGTGTTGATTAGTGTTACAGAGTATAACCTTTGCATCATGATATAAAAGTAGAATTTTGTTTCTTTGTTATGTTATGTTCTCAACTCTTTAAGTCGTGTTAAAGTGAATGACTTAATTTTAGGTTTGAAATACATTATATTAAATACTTGCATTGCAACAGAATTAGTGTTATTGTCAACACTGTAATATAAGGTCAGCTGATAAAGTGTTGTTTGTTTACAGGAGATGTTGCCTCACAGAAAACAACAGGCTGTGTAATTATAAGATAAAACTTGGAGAGGATATCACCTGGTACTCCATATCTCAACTCTGTAGAAATCGGGTAAGTTCTGTGTGGATTGTCTTCAATCTAAATATTTCATATGATCTGGTAATGCTTGGTTGTGTTTAGGCAATGACATCAGATCTGTTGTCACCAACCTGAAATTGTGATGTCAGTTGAATTTTAATGAAGTATCACAAATTGATAAACAATAGATAAATGTTAAAATATGACAATGACATGTACAGTGTATCACAGAGATGTTTATTACACAATGTTTGTGAAAAATGCACGTTGTATCTTAATTATTGTCTTTACGGTAACTCCATGTTTTAATGTGTAATTCAAACTGGGAAAACATGCAAATTGGACATTAAATCTATACAAAAGTTTATCTATTTTTAACCCATCTACAGTTCCAAGATTGAGATTCATCAAAAAAGAATAATCTGGAAATAGAGTGTATGAAGTCTGACAGCAAGTCTTATGATATTGTCATTTTAACACTCCCTTTTTCCATGTTTTCACATTTGACAGCAACTGGATGAGCAAACTGTTCAATCCACCCAGGGAGAGTCATGATCTATAATGTTAGTCTGTACATATCTTGAGTATCCAAACTATCAGATGAAATTTTGTAAGTGTTTTGATTGATTGTGGAATTACATCTTACATTTTTTTTATTTCAGATTGCTTCCGTTTGTGATTTTTATACCTACATCAGATACATAAACCAAGGACTCGTCAAAAGTGAAAGTAAGCACTGAACACACAGAATACGATGCCTGATATTGAACTGTTGGTTAAAGGGAATATTGATATAAATTTGTTCTAACAATTTTAAAAATAAATCTCGTCTGTAAAATGTTTTTATATAGATCCTTAATTTAAGGGCTTAAATTGATAATAGTGTTTTTACTTATGTAAAAAAAACAGTGGGTTCACATTTCTGTGTTTGTTGTCCTTCATTTGATTTTGAATTTTTGATTTCAGATAAGGAAGCATTTTATGAAATTTCACGACTCCGTAAGCAGATGGCCCTCGCAAGACTTGGCTACTCCTGATCTTAGTCCTGGTTTTAATGTTAGTAGCAGTTTACTTGCCAGTCTTTTATGAAAATGTGAATGTTTGTGGTTATACATGTAAAAGTGAGAGGTTGTATTTAATGGACATTGTTGTAGAGTAAGAATACAAGGATTTTTAATGTGTTTTCTAATGTTGTTTTAAGTTAATGTCAATGGGACAGTTCAGCTGCCATTCAGTTTAGCTCCCAGCTGGAGAGATTGAAGACTAAAAATGTTAAAAGTTGATGGGGACCACTAGGGCAGTTTTACATCCACTGCATTATCTTTATAGCATGCACCTCTAAGGGAGATAAATCTTTCATTTTCCTTATGATATCAGTTAGACTGAACCTGAGACTCAGCATTTCATAGTGTGGTGTTACCATCTCGCCCGATTTCATTGGGTCTGCCTGATAATTGCCATATCATGAAAAATGCTAAAATCCCAGGATATTTCTTCACTTTTGATAAGTATTTTATAGTTTCTGATTCAGTTTTACATTCAAAATAATGTTCAAATATAACAGAGAACGTCATCTAAATGCATACAGATGTCATATCTATACAAAATAATTGATTATAAAAACACCCTGTCACCCTTGATTTTGAAGTTCATGAATCAGATATTATTTGCCAAGAGGGTTGTGACCCTGATAGTGTTAAAGTGTGTTTGCCATCATGTTTAAACTGACAGCTTTCTCTTTAAACACAGTTGTGATACACCAGATTATTAATATTTTGTTTTGAACTGTCACAGTTGTATGATTCGTTGCTGGTTTTTTGAATCAGTTTTTATTTTTGTGGTTGAGTATGTGTCAGACATGTATAGAAGTGTGTTAGTTGTATTCAGCTTAACTATTTAAACTGAGGACATAAATGTGAATTCAGAACAGAGTCTGACATACAGTGCTATAAATTCCATGATTTAAAGTTTATCTCCCTTTTGCTCGTATGTAAGTAAAGGGAGATAATTTGTAAATATATCTATAGAGTGTATATAACATTTATATATTGGTGTGTAAGGTTTGTTGTGGAGATGTTTGTGGTAAATGTAGAAAACAATTATAGGAAGTGTGTCATTACTATTACTTAATTTCATAATTACTTTTCAACTTCTTTACATTATTTATATACATTAAAGCAGAAGTTAGATATTTAAAGACTGATTTAAAAAATAAAAGCAGACCTGATTTTTTAATAATAGGTTTCCAGATTTGTCACAAGTAAAAGAAAAAGGCTTTGTAACACAGTCCATTTTGCTCCATAGAAATATTTTCAGAAATATCTGGAAAATACATTATTACTGTTTAAAAGAAAGAAAGTTCATGTAATTCCATTTAGAAATGTATTTCTACGAGTTGTTTTAGAAGTCAGGCCAGTGTTGATAAGTGTGATTTGTTTTCTGTGTGAGTGACTGTAGATATCTGTAGAGATTTAATACTCAGACTTGTTTACTTCTGTATAGAGTCGTTGTTATAATGTAAATACATATATATATACACACGTGTGTTGACATTTTAATCTCTGTTTTAGATAAAAGTGAAAGTGCTTTTGTTAAATTATCAGAAAATATTAAGGTGTTTTGGTTTTACAGAACACTGAAAGATCCAAATTTGGAGAAGTTTTCCCATCACTTTCATATTTGAAAACAGTAGTTTATATTTTCAAACTTCACAGAAACAAATTGATTCCTAAGTTTCCATTCCTTATTGATAAATCTTGGATCTATGAAATCAATTCATATGATTCATTCCAGTTTACCTAGTCTCAATTTACTCTCTTTGACACTATGAAGCTGCATTCCTATGTCATTTTGATCAACAAATAGTGTGACTTTTAGCCAGGGGAAGCCATATCCTGCCTGATCAGTTTCCATTCACAAAAAGATCACGGGAACGACTAGGTAGCAGGACAGAAACGACTGTTGAAATAAATATTCCACTTACAGTTTATCTTAGTAAAGCATGCCTATCATGTTTACTTTTGTTTTCATTTTTCAAAACACAAAACAATGTACTATTAATTACACATTTCTGTGTGAGATTTATTGATACACTGTTGATCAACACTGATAATGTAGGATAGTTAGGATCAGAATTATTCATACTCGCACTCTATCACAAGGATCTTTAAGATTTCAGAAATGTTGCATTGTACAATGAATTTCATCTTTAGAAATAGCATACTCACTGTGTTAATGATTCACATGCTTATCTCAGCACCTAATTTAAGATCACATGTAAATTAAGTAAGTAAGACTATGATTGATCAAAGTATGTAGTGATAAATCTGTATATTTTGCAACTAAAATTATGTATAGTATATTGTCTATATTCATTTTATGAAATGCTGTCACAAAGAAAATGTGTTTCACTGATGCAACAAGTTTACAGTAGTATTAATAAGTATGACAATAAAGTGCAATATTTGACCATAACAAGCTGTATGAGCCATTGTGCTGTTATCCTGTGTATACCTCATGAAAGTGACGGACAGATATAGCATGTAACCAATTTGTACAAAGATTTTAACCAGGGATACCTGTAGCTCTACTAAAGCTGTTAAAGAAATGTTTCATCCTAGACTGAGTTATTGTAACTGACACAAAGACACATCTATCAATTTGTCATGCTTCCAACTTGTAGGAACTAACATTGTTATTTTCAATTTCATAAACAAATATAAGCTGCACCTATTGAATTATGTGACTTGATAATAACAATGTTACTGTAACAGGTAAATGAACCTGTTCAAATGTTCTGTTTTTATTATAATTAATATGTCAGAAAGGCTGTATGATAAAGCACTAGTGTCTCAAATGGTTTGCACTTAATATGCCAGTCTGAATGCACAAACAGCCTAAATGGAGGATTTATCATAAATGTATAACCATGAAGTAATGATAAATTTTGTCCTAAACAAAGGGACAGGATATTGGTATCATATACAACAAGCTATGATTTGTACAAAGAAGCCATGTTAAAAACAAGGTGAGTTTTTGACTACTTTAACCCTAGTCATGACCTGGTTCATATCTGCTGTTATATGCTTGCATTATTTTGTACAGATAAAGAAATCTTGTCGAAATTTTGGATTTTATATATAACCATAGTTTATATATATATCTAATTATAAGAAAACCTCAGGATGTTAAAAGGTTTACAGTTGGATTTGTGTGTTATTTTTATTAAAGAACAGAAGACTTGCAGTACAAATTGTGCCAAAAATTCCTAAGCTCCTGTACTAAAAGCAGAGTATATGCAAACTTCAATATACATTGTTTTCTTATCCTGTTGAATTGTGCCATTGTGAAAAACAAGGAACAAGATTATTTCTAAGAACAGAATCTACAGTATGTTGTAAAGATATAAACTTACTGTGTCTGTATGGTGGGTAAGGATGTTCTTGTTATCTAAAGGATGTAGCATAAAATTGAGACTTAACCAGACAGTATTCACTGATATAAATTTCATTAGCTACACATAATCACTTAGACATTATTGAGTGGTTCAGTCATCATTGATGGCTGCAGTTGTGTCATTTGTATTATAATGTTTAACTATTACAGAGATATATGATTGTGTTATGAGAACTTAACGTACACGTCGTGCATCAAAACCCACCTACTGAGAAATATACTTCACATGTTTATGTATGTTCAAATTCACCAAATAGTGAATTAAATTGTTATCTTTTAAAAGATGATTATTGTTGCCTACTGGGGATGTAAACAGTATTCAATTTTACACGGTGTAAGGTGGAGATGAGTAGATTTATAGTATCAAAACTGAATATTGAACATGGATTAGATTTTCTTTTTTTAAGTTTTGTTTTGGACATATTGACTTACTCCATTTGATTAACTGTTGATTCTTCCATAACAGATTGTTTGTATAGTTTTAGTTGCTTCTGTTAAAGTTTTTGATGTGAACCATATCCCATTTGTCCTGAAGGTGCACTTTTATGTCCAGAGAAAAGTGCACTCCTGTGTCCAGAGATCAAATTCAGTAATGTTTCTTTGTGTAAAAAGTTTGTCTAATGTCATACTTGTACATTTTCTTTATTTGTAAAATAAATAAATTTTACAACAAGCACATCTGTTTTAAGTTTCAATGACTTCAATGAAGTTTTGTTATGAATATGAAGTACATATTTTCTACTTAGATGTACACACTGAAATGTGTACACACTTCCTCCAATAGGTTTTGTGTGGTGTTTGACTGAGAAAATGCTTCCATATTTCCACAACTACAAATGTTACTGGAACTTCATTTACAAAGGTTGTACAAAAGACACCCGAGTGATAAGTACCCTATGATACGAGGACTTATCAGTAATGTTTATGACCTCATCCTTAAACATGGATATGTGTTGTGGAAATCTTTAATTAAGAAGTGTAATACAAATCTTGAGGTCAGATTCCAATCCATCCTATTTACTTATTGTAGACATTGCTTGTCTTCCTTAATAACCTGCCAACACTAACCATATTACTACAGCTTTTGATTCATAACACTTATGTCTGGCTAATATAGGCGCCGAAACACACTCTGAAACAAAATTTATTCTAAAAATATCACAGAAGTTTTGCTCCTTGGCAGAATGACATACTACATGACAAACGATTAATTTTTATAATTACAAAGATATAATTACAAAACATTGGTAACAAAACGTGTTTGTATAGATTCTGTACATGGGAGATGGAAGTAATTCTAGAACTACAATCAATGACAAATACAATGTTGTCATTGTATAACTACAAACAAGTTGTAGTTAAATACAAACATGGGGTAATACAATGTTGTCATTGTATAACTACAAACAAGTTGTAGTTAAATACAAACATGGGATAATACAATGTTGTCATTGTATAACTACAAACAAGTTGTAGTTAAATACAAACGTGGGGTAATACAATGTTGTCATTGTATAACTACAAACAAGTTGTAGTTAAATACAAACGTGGGGTAATACAATGTTGTCATTGTATAACTACAAACAAGTTGTAGTTAAATACAAACATGGGGTAATACAATGTTGTCATTGTATAACTACAAACAAGTTGTAGTTAAATACAAACGTGGGGTAATACAATGTTGTCATTGTATAACTACAAACAAGTTGTAGTTAAATAAAAACATGGGGAATACAAGGTTGTCATTGTCAAACAAGTTGTAGTTAAATACAAACATGGGTAATACAAGGTTGTGATTATATAGATACAAAACATCGGTAATACAAGGTTGTACTTATATAGATACAAAACATTGGTAATGCAAGGTTTTACTTATATAGATACAAAACATTGGTAATACAAGGTTTTACTTATATAGATACAAAACATTGGTAATGCAAGGTTGTGATTATATAGATACAAAACATTGGTAATGCAAGGTTTTACTTATATAGATACAAAACATTGATAATGCAAGGTTTTACTTATATAGATACAAAACATTGGTAATACAAGGTTTTACTTATATAGATACAAAACATCGGTAATACAAAGTTGTACTTCTCTAGATACAAAACATTGGTAATACAAGGTTGTAATTGTATAGCTTCAAATCATGGGTAGTAGGTATATATTGGAGTTTTAACGTTCCTTATTATTGCTTGTTGATCTCACTGTTCTATACATGTATATATCAATCTACTGATTTTCATATCTTCATCTCTCGCATAGTGAACGGTAAGAAACAGACAGGTGATGATGGTAAGTGCCGTATGTTGGTTGTCATCGCTTTCTATCAAACTATCTAAGAGAGCAGTTTGGCTTTGTCTTTGTGATATGTAAACAACTGACTGTGTTGATATCCTCTGCATAATTAGGGTTGACCTGACCTGGTGATCTGCACTCTTGAAGTAATCGGTTTGGCTCGGCAGTGTGCCACACACAAAGCATCTTACTAACTGTAGACGAATTAACCTTTTCATTGGGACACTTCAGAACTCTCAACATCTAACTGGTGTACCGGTCGTCAGACACTCGCTGTAAGTGGTATAGTTTGTACGAAAGACACAAGTAAATTACATGTTTCAATACAAATTTAGAATTAGATGCAGCAGAGGTAACTAATGAGTTTGACTGCATCATACAGCTGTTTAGACCTTGTCAGTGATACTTAAGGCCTATATTTTGAAACTTAGGAGGTGACTGAGAAAAATGAAAATAAAAATTTATGGACAAAGAAATGTCAAAATCTAGACAAGGACGTCTACTAGCCCAATAATTCAATAAGATTGATCTCCATACGTCTGTTCCGAAGAACATCAAGTACAAGTATATATTGTAAAACGCGACATGCAGATTACAGCACTCTTCTAGGACTTAAAGTCCACCATTTGTGTTTACCACCTGCAGTCTCGAATACTGTACAAATAACACAAGTGCAAAAATGTTACATTTTTTCTAGGTCGAATGTCTGTTGGATATTAAAAAATACATTGATACAGATCTGTTGCTACGAAAGACGTTGACAATGGTACGCTTTCCGTCAGATAATGGTATTGATGTTTATTACTATAAGGTAATCTACCTTTCAACAAATTTAATGGTCTACTAGATGTTACATCTTGTTTATTCTTGAATATCAGATAAAGCAGCAAAAGTTTAAACATTCGTGTGTATACGGACTTGTTGTGTCCATGGGCAAGACGCCTTACCCTGATAGCTTAGGATAGCATGTAACGGGCCTTCCGTATGTTATTCAGCGATGTTTCCACCAGCTATACTACAAGGATACCCCGCCACATAATGATTCTTGCCGTTCATGGGGCGATAAATATAGCAAGCAAACATATAATTTCGTTAATGTATAGGTAAATGTTTGGTACTGTAGATGTATAGAAGTATATAGATTTACATATAAACATGCGGTATTATAAAGATATACACAGATGTTCATGAAAACATGCATTTACACCTTAATATAAACGTTTATATATAATCAAGTATATCTGTAATGTGGTCATCTGTGAACAAGAATTCTAGCGGAATAACAAATCCTCTACTAGTTGTGTTATAAGAACTTCTATTCAAATGACATTGCTACCCGGAGAAAAAGTTCCGAAATATCCGAGTTCAAAATGGACAAGTTGTTGTCCAAAATATGTAGTATAGTAATATTGTAATAGTTTGAGAGTCTTGAAAAGGAGGTAGCGAGGCACAGAAATCACCTTGTTCTGCGATGTAGGGACGTGGAAATAACACCTTCAGATCTCAATATTAGATATCCAATTAATACCATCATTGCCCGTATTATCATTATTCAAGTGCAGCAAGATCTAGCGAGGGAAAGAATATGCAATATTAATAACAAAACTGACGCATTAGCTTACAGATAGAAAATAATTCCATTGTCCACACAAAACTCCAGTTGACAATTTTAATGTAGTCACAGAACAGACATGTAAGAACTTGAATTACGGTGAGACTGATGAACTGAGATCACAAAGGACAGGTGTCTTAAAATCTACAAAATGACCAGTAAACAACATATCAAAGGAAGAACGCATTGCACTTGAAAAATTAAGCAAGGACAGATCGATCATACTTCTATCAGCAGACAAGGGGAAAGTCACAGCCAACTTGGACACTGACGAATATGAGAACGAAGACGTGAATATGCTTGACAATCAAACATGAAAAAACTCAAGAATAGTCCTTCCCAAAAGTTAAAAAAGCGTCTGGTACCTGTCTGATCAAAACTGAAGGTAGAAAATGAGATCACTGAATCACAATATAGACACATGTATCCCAGTGCACACACCTACTATATATTGCATACTCAATATTCACAAAGACGGGAACTATTATGGCTCTTAGTGGACCATACTGGGGTCCATTGGTTTAATGTCTCCAGGTCTCTAGCAGACATTTTGAACCCCTGACAGGTAATAAGATGATCACATTAAAAACTCGAAGATCTTGGAGAAAGTATGTTCACGGTACTTATCCAAAACGATCAGGAATTGATATCACACGATGTAGTGTCTCTTTTCACTGACTCACCAACTGACAAAGCACTGTGTGTGTTATTAGTAGTCACCTGGAGCTAGACCGGTCAATCTCCATATACGGATGTGATAGAATTTGTTCTTACAACATGTATTGCTGATACAATTTATCAGCAATGGTGTGACACTTGCAGCTATGGGTAGGCCAGTGTCATTCTTCGGTCACTCGGTGAAAGAGGCTGTAGCCACGACCTTCATAAAATGGAAGTCTAGTCTATGGAAGCTCTATGTTGATGATATATTGGAAATAGTCAAGAAAGGGTCACAGAAGAATTTAGCTGCGCATATTAATACCGTAGATACCACCACCAGCAGCATCAAAATCACATGCGAGAAAAACATCAATGACGCTATGCCATTCCTTGATACCCTTTTAGTAAAGAAAAATGACGGTACTATCAAAGTATTGGTCTATAGGAAAAGGATGTATACAGACTTATAATTCAACTACCAATCACAACACCCCTTACACCAGAAGTTGGGCATTATACGAACTTTGCTCAACAGATGTGAACGATTGTTGTAGTAGAACAAGATAAAAGCGCAAACAAAATCACATCCATATCACCAGACTCACACACAACTATGACCTATGATCTCTGACCTAGTGTTAAACAAATCATAACGGAAAAGACTATAGTATATTTGTACCATATCGTGTACTTTTCTCTATAATGTTCCAAAAACACTAAGTCGATTCCTTAACATCTCGTGTAGTTCGTGCGTCAGTGTTAGTACACTTCACAATGGTGACAATGTAGTCATCGAAACATCACAACGTCACACTTTAAATTATGTTCTATTGACATTATCAGTGAATGAAATGCTGTGTGTTATACAAAATGTTAATATTTAATGCGCCAGTAAAACGCAAGCCTCTAAAAAATTGGTTTCATACTTACGATTACTATTCAAGACACAGATAATGAAGGCCAAGCTTCATCTAGCTAGGGAGCTTATAGGTCATATGTTAAACATTTGTATTAGTAGACAAAGTAACATTTCGATTGCTTGGCGGTGACAATAACGTTTCAGTTAGACAATATTAAAGATGACAAACTGCGTATCTTTATATTGCGGATAACACATTGGTATAAAACTGTTAACATTGAAGAAGATGAAGAAGAAGAAGAAGAAGAAGAAGAAGAAGAAGAAGAAGAAGAAGAAGAAGATGAAGAAGAATAAGGAGGAGGAGGAGGAGGAGAAGGCGGAGAAAAAGAAAAAAGAAGGAAGAAGAAGAGGAGGAGGAGGAGGAGGAGGAGGAGGAGGAGGAGGAGAGGAGAGAAGGAGGAGGAGAAGAAGAAGAAGAAAGAAAGGAAGGAAGGAAGAAAAGAAAGAAAGAAAGGAAGGAAGGAAGAAAAGAAAGGAAGAGAGAAAGAAAATACAATACAGCACTAGGAAAATTCATCAATACGAACACGTACCATTTTAAATCAGGTTTTGGACGCAAGAATGAAAAAAAAATCCAGGAAATGGAAACTATCGATGTTCAGAACAATAAGGTATTTACTGTTTATTTTGCATCACTAATAGGATCACCATTGCCAAAGGTTTTCATCAAAATCATCTCTCAAAAAAGCGGCAGTTACCAGAGCGACATCGTCAAGGCAAAACTGAAACGCAATATATTTGGTCGATACCTTTTAAAATATGAAAAAAATAGGAAAAATTATTACGTGGTTACTTTAAAAAAACTACTGAAATATTAATCGTATTAAAAAGTATTTTAATAAATAATTGACAAGCATTAAACACACGAATTTCGGTCCACGCTTAAGACTACAGCTATGTTATATGTTATTGGAGACTGTGGGATATACTAACGGACTAACGCAGCACCTGTTGGTGAAATTTACTAATGCCTGTATACTGAAGATGATATCTTCATGAAAGCTTCCCGCGCTAACAACATAGAAAAGCCTTCCAATCCACTGGCACCGTATCTTATACACAATTGTAGACAAAAATAGCAAAATAATTTACATTTTTTTACCATCAAAGAATCTCGGCCTATCTTTATAGAGGTATATAAAAGGAAGGAACTTATAGGTTGTGCGAGTTCCGAGAGTAGCTGTTTGACGCTGTTATATCAAGTACGCACACATTTGTTTTGTACGCGAGGGGAGAAGAGGGTATTTTTAACACTACATGCTATCAGGAAACCTCGCCACAATAACACAAGGAGGTACGCTGTAGAACCTCTGTGTTCCCACAATCTGGACGTGTAATGCACGTGTGGTAGCTCGGAAGTACGTACCGGGAACAGTACTTGTGGTGAGGTACTTTGTGATGTCGTACGTTGGACTATATATATAGAAGTAAACTCGTGTGTGTGGACACAGGAGCAACTATACTGATGATTGGCTAAAAAGGATGTGATACAACAATGACGGCTGATGATTTCAGGTAAAATATATTTAAAGACATTTTAAGGGATGAGGAAGGTTTGATGTTTGGGTCGTTGTTACCAAAATATACTGCCTCCTTGCTATTGCAACACATTGGAATGTGATGCTACATGTGTAACACAAAAAGTCATGTGACGACCTTCGTAATGTCACCCGGATGTAAGGTGACAACTCTGGCCTATCTACTCCAAGCGCTTCACAAACAGACTTATAGAAAGTGAAATAACTGAATAAGGCATTAATAGTCTGTCTAAAATGTCAATATATTTGTCAATGTAAGTAACGACTATTTCAACAAAATGCTGACATGTAGACAAGATATGTCTTACTGCACTTTAATGAGTTTGTTAGCATTGTTAGTAAATGACAATATCTCAGTCTCACCAACGTTCGCCCCTATCATACATTTCTTCGACAGTTCATTGGCACCGAACACTTGACTATGTATTTGTGCACGATTTGTGAGAATTCGCATTATTTGCAATTGTAATTGAGATCGTTCGATATATCCTTATTTGCTACTTGCAGTTTGAATATGTTAAACCGTTAGCCACCTCCAGTACAGACACAATTTGAAGGGATTTATAAATCAAATGTTACGATGAGGTTTTTGACCTTGTTAATACTCTGTAGAATATGTTAAATGGTGTTACATGGCTAGCACAGTGGGTTGTCTAATTATATACACTTCACCCAATTACAATTATCTCTTACACATACGATGGTATGCCAGCTAAACGTTAGCGCCGTCATAGGTGCTCGAGTGTGCAGATACAATGCGTTTAATGTACATCATTATAGCTTGAAAGCGTATAATTGATTATGATAACTTGAATATATCGCTGTCCTGCATTTTGCTCGGTTTTACCATTGTATTTTGATAATAATCTCGCATACCTCCTTTCTCGACAGGGAGCTTGATCTATTATCTCGCTTTTTCGTACACTCAGCTAGTGTATCTTTGTATGAGGTACCTATAAATAAGCTACCGGAAATCTACCATCTTTTCATGTAAGCGTTTTCAAAAAAAACCTTAACAAAATACTTCAAGAATGTTTCTTATTTTCCATTTCTTTATACCATTTATCATACTGTCCAGTAACTATACAATTAATAACATTATCTTATACAAGAACTCGTTTGAGATTTTGTGTGGGTGAAATACAGAATGAGTTATAAAGAGTAACCAGCAAGGCTTTCTGGAGCTTACAATGTACATAAACATTCTCGAATTAAAACATGAAATTACAATGTACAACACAATGGCGCCAGAACACAAACTCAAACAACAACAATGGAAAACAAATAATAGACAAGGCAAAGGACTGGTAAAATGCCAAAAGCAACAAAAAGGACAGGAATTAGAAAGATAGAAATTCACAGGAAACAAGGATAGGTGAGAAAAAAAAGGAACCAAATAGAAACAAAACGATAGACCAGGATAGGAACTGAGGAGGCACAAAATATAAAATGAAAAAGACTGGAATGGTTAAAACACAAAATAATAAACAACGACAGGAAAGGACAAAACAATAGAAAAGGACAGGAGCTGAGGAAGCGCACAACTAAAAATGAAAAAGACTGGAACGGAGGAGACACAAAACAATAGATAACGCCTGAGGCAGAGTACACCCAAAATAATAGACGGTAGCAGGAACGAAAGAGACAAAAACAGTAGACAATGTCAGAAATGAGAAGCGAAGATACACATAGCTATAGACAGTGGCAGGAACGGAGGAGACACAAAACAATAGACAATGTCAGAAATGAGAAGCGGAGATACACATAGCTATAGACAGTGGCAGGAACGGAGGAGACACAAAACAATAGACAATGTCAGAAATGAGAAGCGGAGATACACATAACTATAGACTGTGGCAGGAACGGAGGAGACACAAAAAAATGGACAATGTCAGCGAACAAGAAACAACGGCAAGAGATTTTGAGACGCAACAATATCTGGAATGGAGTGGCTAGAATAGTGGTGACAGAAACCAGAAACACCACATAGCATCAAAGAAAATGTCGACATGTTAACCAAATCTTCCTTCGAGTTAACATAAATTCGATAAAACTAGGGTAACCAAAGAAGACTGACACAGAAAATCCTGAAATGACATAAGGAAAATAAGACCAAGTGGTCCGGAAGGGAAGTCGTCTGCTTCATCGACGACAATCGCCACGTAAATCTTGGTCAATCAAACTATGTAATATCTAACTAAAACTAAAACAAAAAAGCAAACAAATCCGGCTTCATAAAGTACAAGGAAATACAATGCTTCCCTATGAGATTACTATGACGACCATACAACTGCCCGATTATTTTCAACAACATGCGTCGCCCGAAACACTGTTATATGAATTTATCTGTCAGTTGTCAACATCTTTCACGAAATGATATTTGGAACAAGCCTTAGATTATCGAAATCCAATCATATACTTCAATTATTGAGAAAAAGGCAATGAAACAATCTTGTATGTCTAATCTGCTACAGCAATGCATAACCTACACTACATGCTAACAGTATTCGTTACATGAAGCTGGATTAAGATATTCTAAATCAAAAGCGTTGGTAGTAAGTACTACATACTTGTACGTTTTTTTACTGCGCTACAATAATGTATTACTATGTGCAGATAGTACTTGGCAGTAGAATATACAATCTTGTTTCTATTGATGTGAGGATGAAATGCTGTTCTTATTACTTACCTCACAGCACTTTCATCTACCAATTAATATACAGCCTTGTGTTAGGGTAAGGTTAGTAGTAAGTAAACGGATCGAAAGGCACACACATAGCACATACAGGCTGTGGCACCAGGAAGGCAGTGCCATGGACGAAAGGTAGGACCGCCCTATTTATATATTTTGAAGTTAAATCAGGCCATTGAAATTGTCGATCATATATTCGAGGCCAAATTTGTTTAACAGCATGACAAGCGGTTACTATGAGCACGGTTGCTGATTGAAGCTGTTTTAAGAAATTCTTGCGAATGTGTTCGCCTTGAAAGATACGTTTTGTTCTTCAATTCTATCGATTGCTATGTATAATAACTGTTGATTTTGTTACTTTTCTTGAATATGAACACAGGAAATGTTTTATAGTCGAAAAATAGGACTATTATAGCTTTAACAACGGCTGTGTTTGTTTGACCACTGGTTTTATAAGAGATAATTCCATCACCTTATGAAATTATCATCATTTGATTGCCACTACTCTAACTTTGAGAGCGTATTTCTACATAATCCGATCAACATTTATCTATGCTTTTGTAGTAGATATTTTACCATTCCAAGTCTCTAGTTTCAAATGTATGTTATACAACATAATTTCTTCAAGTATTTTATTTCAAAATACCAATTTTATAGTAAACAAAGAAAAATTGAAACTCAAAATGTATGTTACATGTTATCTGTCAAGTCCCACAATTATTATTTATCAGGTCACACAAGTACACGGCTGATAACAAAATGTTAGATACTTTATGATGATGTTACAATTAAACAGCACATATACAGTACATAAACCATAAACACAGGAATGGTAGAATTTAGGTATGATTCATATCGTCTAAGTAAAGTAAACGGGACTCGAAGACGTATACTGTTTCGGAAACCAATCTCCCTTTCTGATATAAACTGTCAGGAATATGACCACGTGAACAAGGAAGTTAAATTTTACAATTTACATCTATATTACAAATATATTGAAGGAATGGTTTTTTTTAAAAAATTTTAGATACCTTATAGAAGATACTGAAGTGCACAAATCCCCATCATCCCCTTCATTATTTTATCAGTAAGCCTTTAGCAAAGTCTTAAATTGGTTTAAGTGCCATTTCTCACGAAAAACTGACAAATAAAACATTCAAAACATTGCCAAAAGATTGTAAGATCAGAAGTGCCAAATAGTGAATTAAACTACAGAATCAAACAACTGTTTCGTCCTTCTAGGATTTGTTAGTGATGCTAAGGTCATATGTTTGAAACCAAGGAGGCTATTGAGGAAAATCCAAAAGGATCGAAAAAATGTCAAAACCTAGATGAGGAAGTGCATTAGACCTATAGTGCAATAAATTTAGAGAGTATCATATACCTGATAATTTCAGAAGAACGTCAAGTACGTATGTAAATCTGAGTCATTTTTAAACTATATGTAATTAGAAAAAGACAAATAAATGATATATATTATGGGAAATAGAAGTGAACCTTTATATCAAGAAAACGTATGTTCATTTCTACTAAAACTTCAAACGTTGTAAATAAATCTGCGAGAAAGAGAGAGAGAGAGAGAGAGAGAGAGAGAGAGAGAGAGAGAGAGAGAGAGAGAGAGAGAGAGAGAGAGAGAGAGAGAGGGGGGGGAGGGAGGGAGGGAGGGAGAGAGAGAGAGAGATAGAGAGAGAGAGACGGGGCCTATGTGTATTCTGGTTCTCAGTAATATTTATTTATGTGTTCACGTGATCCGTTATGTAATTTTTATCGCGTCTTTTCGAAATATTTTATTATCAAAACATGTATGATATCATTATCCATGGAACCGAAGCTTCTGCTATGTGTAACTACATGCGATACGTTTCCCATTTGTTTTATATAATATTAATCTTCTCAACTCTATCTTCTCACAATCACTCATTCATCTGCAACATCGTAGTGTTTTTTTCGTTGATTTAGTCAAAGTTGCCAAACAGTTGATTTTTTGGTAGCAATAGAATGAATACCTTAAGTTTATTATCACCTGTTGGACGACTTGATAGGCAGGAGATCTATCTACCGTGGCACATTCACGAAAATGATGGATGTAGTGGATCATTGGCAGCATAACAGTATAGTGTTAGTTTTCTGACGCCCTGTAACGTATCGTAAGTGAGTTTACGGCTGGTGGTAGATGGCCTCGGACAACTGTTATCGGTATTCACCAACACCATCCAGGTGTCTTGGGGCAATGTGTATTTAAAACCAATTAAGTGTCCATGGAAACAAAAAAATAAACAAAATAT